ATAAGGCATGTCAAAGGAACTTGTGGGTCATAATCCAATGAACACAAGCAGTTTGGAATCACAACTTAGTCTTGCCTTGTATTGAGACTACCTTCACCTGTTCAAGAAAAATAACATGCATTTTTCCAAACCACACAAAGGATTGGTTTGTTTATAGGTCACATTTAGCTAAGATCATGACATCTTGACCATGTGAAGAATGCATGCATTTATGTTGTTGTCTCTGTTAGTGCTTTTTTCCTCACAGCAATTACTTTCTCAAGAGTACCATTATAGCATGTTACTACTGTTGAATTGGCTTTCCTTTATTGTCAGTTAGGGTTTTGACAATGCATTGCATGTACTCTTATTGTCCAAAAGAAAGTCTCAATTACATGCCAATAAGAGTCATAGATTGGCATCAAAATTTTGTTTACCTGAAGATTAATGAAAGACTATCCCTAATGCATGCATTGTTACAGACTCCAATCAATGAAATTATTCTATCACAAGATTGGTAGGTTAGCAGGCATATGTGATTCAATCAGACCTGAGTTTAGTAGTTACTAGAATATAACACATGATCTCAAAATATGTTCTGATTATGACGAAATTAGGACCTGAGGTTTACTAAAATATATGGAGTTGATGCCAAGCTACTTGAACAGGAACTCAAAGAAGAGAAGAAATGGGACAGAATGTAATGTACCAAAGCACAAAAAAAATAAAATAAAATAAAATTCCAGTCTTGAAATCTAGTCTTACTCCTGCTAAGTTTCACCGGTTTTGTTATGATATTATGTTTAGCACACTAGAACATAAGAATAGTTATGAAGGAATCTAAAATCCAAGAACAACTTTGTTTTCGGAAACAAGAGGATGATATGTATCGCAGTCGATAAGTACTTATACTAACAAACTTCGATGGAAGAAGTGATAAAAGACAGAGAGATATAGAAAACCAACAGTGAGGAAGGCCAACCACCAACCTTGTCATGATTCAACCCCGATCAACTTAACTTCATCTCTTGATATGACCATAAAAATGTTCAGATGAACCTTTCATTAGAAAATGTGCTAATACATCTAATGCAAATATTAAATATGACAAAGGTTAAAGTGAATAACAGTATATTCTCAGTAACAATCGATCATACGGAGCAGTCGGTCACTCATTTTCAACCATTACCAATGCATAAAATTGTGTTAATCATAGTCGTGGAAAGCTGTAATTTTTGGAACTATTAATACTTCAAATTACTAAGGAAAAACAAACAACTCATTTATAAAGTACGTACAATCAAGTAAGGAACTTGTCAATGATCGAAAACTAAAAAATTGAACAATAAACAAAATGGACAAGAATACATCTTATACAGCTTATCATCTCAATGAGTGGGGATAATTCAAGCTTTTCTACATAAAGGGACGACATAACGAAAAGACCATAGAGCATATGGAACGATACCGAAAATAAAATAATGGATTTCTAAAATATGAAATAAGCACACTACAAGATGGAAGCATATACCTTCCTAATATTATCATAGCCACCTAAAAAATTCCAGCCTTTTCTGTGTGGAACAAGAATCAAGACAATGTTAGTGAAGCCAGAGAGAGATATAACTGATATAGATCTAAGAAGATACTAGTCCTTTAGCTCTTCTTTAATCACAGAGATAAAGAGTATCTAAAGTTCTTTAGAGGAATTGAAATCCAGCAGACAAAAAAGTTGAGCTTTAGGTGTTCTTTCTTCTAATTACGATCTTGCAATTGTATTGGCATTACCAGCCTCCAATCCCCAATTGGTGTTGCGTCTCCGGGAACTCCTTCTGCGTGTAAGTAAAGGTGTATAGGTAGGAAGAGGTTCGGAGCTCAGCCTCAATGACGAGGAAGGAGATCGCAAATGCCTGAAAAATGAGAAAACACTAATTCCTCCATCCTCCCTTGATCGACTCCCTCGCGAGGACGATGACATTCTCCTTGGAGCCATCCTGGAGTTGAGTTCACCATCCATCTCTGTGTAAACAACCGGCAGCTCCCCTTCTGCTCTCCTGCCTCCTGTATACCTGCCTACAGCGAAACCACCGCCCGGAAGCCTCCATATGGTTAACCCCACCATCTCCCCACCATTGTCGTCCTCTTCTGGTACATCCATAGGCATCTCATGGCGGCAAACAGGGCAAGAATTCCTGAGCGAGAGCCACGGCAAGATGCAATCTTGATGGTAGATGTGCTTGCAGGGCATCTCACAGGCCTCGGTTCCGAACACAAAGGGCTCCTTGCACACAGCGCAATGGGATTCCCTTATGATGTGGCCGTCGCTTATCTCAATGGTGGGCATTGACTCGATGGCAGCCTTCGAAGCCGGCAGGTGCGCCAAGACGCGACTGACACCGGTTCCATTGATCTCGATGTGGGCGAGCTGGTCCAGTAGCCGCTCAAACCCTGAGTCCATCAAGAAGTCCGACACGCTTTCCGGCAGAGGGCGGAGGCCGGATCCGGCGCCGTCATCATAGTAGAGTTCAAAGTTGTTGCTGGTGGCCCCGTCTGCATCGCCTCGTACGTCAGGTGGACTGCGCAGGACAATGACGGGGTTGAAGGGAGAACGGTTGCCGGTGGGCGCGCGACGGTTACGACGGACCCTGAGCTCCGAGGGCTGGTGAGGCCGTTCAAAGGCGGCGCTGTCGGTGGCCGGGGAGGGGAAGCGGCGGCGCTGAGGCTGTGGGACAGCCGCGTAGAGAGGAGCACGAGAAGGCCCGTCCACCTCCTCGAGGAAGCCGCCGCCGCAGTCAGGGCAGACAACGGCGGCCCGGGGCCAAAGCCTGACGAAGCGACCGCAGCGGTAGCACCAGAACGACGGCGCCGTCTCCATAAAGGAAATCAAAGACAAAAAGCAAGCGACGGCGGCAGTGATGACGGAGCTCCGGAGGAGGCGAGGAACCTCTTAAAGATCCAAGCTTTGAACTGGAAAACTAATAGATACGTAACGAAAGCCCTAAAAATCCGATTTTTCGAGAAACTACCGCAAAAACACCATTCAAACCAGCATCGCTTTGTTGGCGGAACGAATCTGATTCGTAATCGAAATCCCAAAAGAAATCAAACTAAATAACGGAGAAAAAGAATCCAAATTCAAAAACCCCTTGCTTAATTTGCACCCAAATGCCGCTAAGACTTGGGATTGGGATTTGGGCGGAGGGCATAGGAGGGAGTTCGAAAGAGAAGACAAGGGGCATGCGTGACGGCGTGGTTTCGACACGCAGACGGCGTCATAAGGCGTCGTCGACGTGGCGAGTTCCCGTTAACTATATGAGTTCGGTCGGAGAAAGTGACCGGTTCAGGCCGAGTCCGTATTGGGCAGGGTGGTAACTCGCGCGACGCGTTGATGAGATCGGTCCGGTCTCTGCCCACTTCGCATAGTCCCAAGTCAAATTACCTAAAGAATCCTGATGGAAAAGAGAAAGTGACCCGGTTCGAGCCGAGACCGTGTTGGGCAGGGTGATGTCTCGGACGACGGGTGGATGAAATCGGACCGGAGTCCGCCTGCTTCGAATAGATTCCGACTCACATCACCCAAATAACCCCGATGCAAAAGAGAAAGTGACCCGGTTCGGACCGAGACCGTGTTGGGCAGGGTGATGACTCGGACGACGCGTTGATGAGATCGGTCCGGTCTCCGCTTACTTCCAACAATCCAGAGTCAAATTACCCAAATAACCCTGATGGTAATCCTGCAGCCTGGCCCACAATGGGGGGCCCATTTGGTGATTCTTGGACAACGTCAAGTACAATTATTGGAATCACAACAATAAAAACGAGGAGAAAAATAAGGGGGAAAAGCCAATGTTTATAATCTTAACATTGAAAGAGAGAATATAATAGAATGATTCTTGTCTTCAAAAAGATCACCATCGCACAGTAGTAGTTTTACTTTAATAATAGCAGCAGTGACGCTGTCTGTCTCCTATTGTCTTTTTCTCTTTTTTTAACCTATGGGTAAAAGTGAATAAGTTAGACAATGGAATGTCATACTTGAATTATTTAATTTGCCAAATTTAAATTTTTTATTCATATTGGATAATTTATTCGTTGATCAGTTTGAATATACACATGTGACTTACATGATCATGATTTTCTAAATTGAATCTGTTAGTGTTTTTTATGATTGTCCAGTCATATCTAATTTTGCTCAGAAAACCAATTATATATGAAAAATATATATTTTCGAATTGAATTTGAAAAGATTATCATCGATCAGATTTGATGTTCCATATATATATATATTTTTTTTTGATGAAAAGAATAGAAAATAAGAATAATTACTGAAGAAATAAAGAAACTTTATTGAAGAAATGAAAAATACTTCAGTACATTGACATGTTCATTCTTCTATTTATATAAATTAGGAGAAAGAATTTCTCTCAACAGAATAAATAAGATTTTCTCGAAAAAATCTTATGTATATATATATCTCGGAACAGCATTCAAGAATAGAGATGCACATTTTCCGGGCATAGAGTTGAGAAAGCATCGAAAACCTTTGAGTTGTTGTTTATTGGATAAATTAACCATGATCACATGGTGACATGGGCTATCTATCAACATAGTTAGGTCCTGACGTGGTAGCTCACATTGAGGCTTGCTCAAAGTGCTAACGTTGATTTTACGTGTCGGTTCGTTTCCATATGGATGCTGACATATTGTTACGACTCATCGAATATTTATGAGAAGATGTTCACACTAAACCCACCATAAAACACGTATTACGCGTTTCGGACGATTTAAGAGCGCTTGGCAACCCTCATTCAAACCCCCCCGCTTCCCTCTTTGGAATCGTGGGCGAGCCGAGGCAGACGCAACCTCGCATCGGCCCCATTTTGGAATCCGAGCCACATCCCTTCCGCTCTCACCACAAACCCTAACATGAAGATGCCAAGCCGCATATTGCGGGTGAGTTCGTCGATCTCTCCCCTTATTTTTCTTCGATCCACCTGCAGCGGCCCCTGTTCCAAGACATCGATTAGGGTTTCTTGGTCTTCCGGCATCAGCTTCGTCCTACCTCCTTGGATTCAATCTGAAGTCCACCATAATAATTAGGTTTACTCAACTCACTACGTTTTAGAATCAAACATGTCGTCTTTTACGGGTTTTTGGTATGGATCTTGGCGATTTGGATTCCTGATCCTTCTTGGTTGTCAGGACAAAGTGAACATGGAGGTGATCAAGCCGTGGATTACGTTCAGCTGGGCATGCTGCACTGTATCTGTGTACCATGTTGCGTCGTCCGAGAGATGCATCCTGATGGTCGGAGCCAAAATACCGTACAATACCAGGTACTGAAACCTTTCTCTAATTTCAGATCTTTCAAGTGAAAAGACTAAAGTCATAACAAAAAGCTTAATGATTACTGGTAGTTAGTAATGCATTTTAAGATTTAGTTAGCATTTCGGTGCTGCATATGAGGATTCAAATTCCCATTTCCTATAACACCATGTTCTCATTATGTTACATGCCATTTCACCTAAATTATTGTATACTTGATAAAGCTCCTATAGGTTTCAAATTTTTTATTGCCATTTATGGATTATGGAATCCAGTGTAATCCAGGAATCAGTATGATTATATATGTCTTTACCTGTTCGATATAGGAACAGACTACTCATTACCGTATGGCTATTATTAAACCAACACAGTCAACGTTCGTATTTTGTTGTTCCCTTTTCACCCTTTTTTAAGCTGATTGTAGCCATATGAATCTTGGAGTTTCTCTTCTTTGTGGTAGTAGCTATTTTGTGGTTCTGTTCTGAATTGAAGAATCTTTTCTAACATTGTTTGTCTATGTGTTTTAGTTTGAACTCTTGTAATTTGGTTTTGATAGCTAGACGAGGAAAACAAAATTGGATTTGTGCATCTGTATAGCTAAAACTTGAAACATATTAGGGTAAACATGTTCCTGACAGTTCAGAAACTACATGGTTATTTTATTAGCTATTGTATATTAGAAAATAACCTCTTGTACTGGGTAAGGCTGCATACATTGACCCTCTTCGGATCTCGCATTGGCGGAAGCCTTGTGTACTAGGTACGCCCTTTTAACATATATTACTAGTTAAGAGAAATAATTCACCACAAACAAATTTATGTTATTTTATGAGGTTACTGCAGTCTTTAATAGATAAAGAGTGGGTCAGTACATGAGACTCTCACCAATATGATCAAGAGACATTATATGTTGTTCTACAATTGGAAACAAAAATCTAGTTCTGTGACTTAAAATGCTTATTAGGATTATATATATATATATATATATATATATATATATATATATATATATATATATATATATATATATATATATATATATATATATATATCTTTGTTTATATATATCTCACACTAAAAACAACATAAGTGGCGTGTTTTTTT